GTCAGGCTGAGGCTGCAGACACCCAATAAAAGTTGACTAATGGAAGACCGCTTGCACTTTGGTTTTCATGTTGCAATTTGAAGTGTTTCCTTTGAACAAAGGCCCCAGTGCCTGGAGGAGATGGGTCCCCTGTCCAGGAGTGACAGGCAGAGGGTGAGCCCGGGGGGACAGTGGGGGCTGGGGGCAGGGGGCAGTGAGGGCCTCGGTGACCTGTCCTCAGACATCAGAGGGGGAAAAGGTCCATTCACAGGAGTCCTGAGGCCTCACCAAAGCGGCTTCCTGAGCCCCAGCGACAGGGCTTCAAGGACGAGGCCTTTGCCGGGCAGAGGTTGGGGCCAGGCCCAGGCTCCCGTCAGCAAGGGAGCCCCCAGGGGAGGGCTGGGCCCTGGCCAGGCCGTCCCAGGTCACCCAGGGGAGAGGTGCAGGCGTGCCCTCAGACCTGGTTGGGTTGGGTGGGCACCCCTCACAGCTGCCCCCTACTTGTTCTGGGTTACAGAGACGGGCCACTGCCCCAGCACACACAGCCTCCCAGCTGGAGGCATCTCTGCCGCAGAAAGGCAGCCGGGAAGTCCGATGGCGGGCAGGAGGTCCGTGCCGGCCTCTGGATCGGGTGATTGCCCTTGGCCTTGGGGAGCTGCAGATGCTGGCTGTTCACTTAGAGGGAACTAAGCTAGGGAGAGCTTAGGTAACCTGCAAGCCATGATTGCCTAGCCGGGTCTGCTGCTGGCTGCTGCAACGTCATAGTGAGTGCTGCCATTCTCCCTCGGGTCCCCAGCATGCTCTCTGAAGCCACCGTCTTTGGGTAGCACACTTGTCATCTCTGCCATCTGGGAGGACTCGGCTGTCCTGGGCCTTGGCCTGGTGGTGAGCCTGTCACCAGCACCCAGGGAGCCTGCAGTGGCCCGCGTGGCTCTGGCCTGTGCTCCTCCTGCTGTGACACTCCAAGCTGACACCTCTGGGGCGGGAGGAAGCCGTACCCGCAGATGGCCTCCGGCCTGCTTTGTGCTGGAGAAGGGTCTGGACGTTGATCAGATAGCCCAAATCAGGGAGGGCAGCGGGGCTCAGAGGCCAGCCAAGGGGCCAGAGTCCCCCCTGTGTGCCCTCCGGGCCTGCCAGTACAAGGTGGCGGCCTGGGAAGAGCCCAGACCCCTGTGGAAAGCCATTTCCTCCCCCATTCCGTCTGTTGCAAGGTAGTGTCTCCCCTCGAGCAGATCTCTGCACTGCCCAGCGGGAGCAAAACGGCCACACACCTTGGCCTTGGAGAGACACCAATCGTGCCGCTTGGTTTTTATGACTGGTACTTTCATACTTTATCTTCATTCTGATGAGTGAAGCCGGGTTGCCACTGAAACCCTTCTGAAATAACTTAGATACAAAGCCAGAGACAAATAAACAAGCTAAACGTACTTAGCAAGTTCATGGAGATGCAGGAAGTGAAGGTCAAACAAACACAAATGCAGTCTGGGAAGTCCTAGATTGAGGAAGGTCTGCAGAGTGCGCCTGGACTGGGCAGGCTGTGGGCAGAGTGGCCACTGAGGCCAGGACCTTCTCAAGACAGGGCTAGACCTGGAGCTCTCAAGACTTAGACCCCCAAGCTTTGGCCAGAAGGAGGGCATGTCCTGTCCACAGGCACAGGGCTGTGACTTCGCAGGCCTGCGGCCTGGCTGCAGTCCCAGGGGCTTGCCTCTGCCTTTTGCTTGGATTTAGTCCACTCGAATACCACCACTGACGTACTTGCATTTTATGTTTGCTATCATACTTTTCTTCCCTAAATATCTCATTTCCATTTGTTCTTTTTTTTTTTTTTTGGGTCCGGTCGTGGGGCCTGAACTCTGGGCCTGGGCGTTGTCCCTCAGCTCTTCAGCTCAAGGCAAGCGCTCTACCACTTCTGCCACAGCGCCACTTCCGGCTTTTTTCTTTTTGCTTATGGGTGGTGCTGAGGAATCGAACCCAGGGCCTCAGGCATGCCAGGCAAGCGCTCTACCACTGAGCCACCTTCCCAGCCCACTTCTTTTTGTTTTTGTCTTTCAGCATTTTCTTTTTTGTGCTAGTGCTCTGGATGTGAATGTCTTTGTAAACGTCCTACTTGATACTCTTGAGGCTCTTGGATGTGTCTCCTCACGACTTTCATCACATTCCATTTCTCCTCTCCCCTGAGCATGTGTGAGCTTAGTGGTGTCTGTGTTATTCTCTACTCACGGCCTCTGTGCAGATCTGAGGTTTCTTTTCTTAGCCAGTTCAAATCCACCACTGAACCGAGTGAATGTTTGCTGTTTCACAATGTTCACTGGGGTTTTCTGTAGTTTCCCTTCCTTCTCTGACATCTCTGGCGTGACACTGTCTTCCACCCCTGCTGTCAACGCTGTCCTCCATGTCTGAGCTCATGCAGAACAGCTGCTCTGAAGAGCATGGGTGAAGGTGGCACGCTCCTCACAGGTACGTGTGTTGTCCACCTTGTTTTTCCTATGCATTGTACCTACACTCTATGGCCTGCACAGGGCTCCCGGCCCCTCTCTGGAGCTCTGCTTCGATGGCTAACCAAGTGTGCCACGCACCCAAGCTCCATCCTGTCTCAGGGCTGGGTGTTTGATGAAGGCCTTACTCACTCACCAGCTGAAGGGTCATCGGGTCATCTCCAGAGCGGAACAATGGGGAAAAAAAGACACTTCAAGCATTTGTGTATAGGTGTGCAGAAGACTGGACGTGGGATTACTGGGTCACAACTTCACTGTGAGCTGCACCCCAAAGGCAAAGTGCCACCCAGTCCCACGCAGCAACTGTACGCTCCGGCACCAGTGCGGCTGTTGCTTGGCTTTTGCTCCACCCTGGGAGGACACTCGGGGGATGGTGGACCCTCAGGGTTCTTTTGCTGCTGGTTTCCCAGACTGGCCGCCTCCCAGTGCCCCACACCTAGATACTGGCTCGCATTAAATACCAAGCATCGCTCTCCTGCGGCGTGGTTTTCTGCTGAGCCCAGGAGAGCTGGTCTTGGTCTTCTTCCATTGTCTGACTGGCTGATCTGCAATCACCAATCTCCCTTTAACTGCTTGCCACCAAAACCCACGTCACTTCTGAGTTCACTGTCCCATGCTTTGTGACAAGGCCATGTCCTCGGGGCTCCCCTGGCACTCTCTGAATTTAAGGTCTGGCCTCAGCTCAGAACCGTTTTAAATGATACCCAATGTGCAGGGAGTGAGGCGGCCTCTTGCTCTCGAGGGCAGTGGTGGCGAGCTCAGGGCCTGGGCTGGGTACCTTTGTGAGGCAGAGTCTGCGGAGCTGAACCTCGGTGGCACTCCACAAGTGCCAGAGCCTGCAGTGTCAATCCTGCCCTGCCTTTCTTCATAAAGCTTTATTAGAACGTAGCATAGCTATGTCCACCCACTTACTATTGTCTCTAGCTACTTTTGTGCAACAGGAGCAGAGCTGAACATCACAGCAGAGACCCACAGTATTTTCCATCTGCTGCTCCTAAGAAGTGTGGCAGAGACAGCCAGTCAGAGAACTTCTGACCTGCGTGCGGCTGAACAGCTGTGTCCACTCTATAAACCTCACTGAGCTCTGACTCACAATTTGTGTATTTTTGTATGTGTTTTTAGCAAAAGTAAACACACTTTAAAAAAACCGAAAAGGCAAACTTCCTGCAAGGCCAAAGGAAAAGGGCAAGCGGCAGGACCAGGGCAGAGGTGGAAGGGCTTTCTGAACTTGGCGCACAGAAGGGGACGGGTGGGCGGGTGGGCGGACGCTACACAGAAACAGGCTGGAAATCAAAGCAACCCTAGTAGTTAAACTCAGAGGAGAAGGCTGCCATGGGCGCAAGGAATGCAGACTTAGTGGAATAAAGCCAGGATAGCCATCTACGTTTGATTTTCATGAACATTTTAAACTACATCCCGAGTGCTACCTGTGAGAGGCTTCCCCTCCCTGCTTTCCTGACATTCAGATTCAACGGGGGTGGGTGTCAGCAGCACTGTCCTCTGGCAGCCAAGAGAAATGGACCAGGAAACCCTGAGTGGGGTGCTCAGGCCAAGCTGCAGACAGGGGTGCCGGTGTGGAAGCGAGGAAGCCCCCTCCCCTCCTCGGCAACCAGACGGCGGCAGCCCCACCCCCGCACTGCTGAGGGCTCCAGAAGGGGAGAAGACACTCACAAAGATCTGGTCATCTGAATGGTTTCGGACTTCCAAGCACAGCAAAACTCTAGGCTAGCAGAAGAGCAGCCAGATAGGCTGTGGAGAAGCAAGACAGAATCTAAAACACAAACAGGGACTGGAGGAAGCTTGAAGAGACTGGCTGATGCCTTACTACACCGTCCCGCGGGAGAACATGAAAAC